ACCCCTCTCAACCTCCTCTTCTCCAGATCAAATATTCCCACATCCCTCAGCCTTTCCTTGTGGTGCTTGGTCTCCAGGCCCCTGATCATCTTCATTGCCCTCCTCTGCACTCACTCTATTCTGTCCACATCCTTTTTTGAAGTGAGGCCTCCAGAACTGCACACAGTACTCCCAATATGGCCTGATCAGTACAGTGTACTGTGGGACTATGACATTTTGTGATTTGGATATTATGGCTCTGTTCATACACCCCAAGACTGCGTTAGCCTTTTTTGCCACTGCATCACACTGACTGCTCATATTTATCTTAGAGTCCACCCAAGGACAATTTATATTTAGACCAATTTTTAAAAAATCATTCTCCATTTTCTTATTAGACACAGATTTTGTTCCATCATTCCATCCAATTTACTAGAGACTAGAGATTAGAGACTAGAATGCCTAAATATGTTATTTTATGGAATTCATTGCCATAGGAAGTGGTAGTAGCTATAAGCATGGATGGCTTCAAGAGGGAATTTGATAAACATATGAAGCAGATGTCCATCAGTGGCTATTAGCCACAAGGTATAGATAGGAACTCTCAGTCTGGGGCAAGTGATGCTCTGTATTCTTGGTGCTTGGGGGGGGGGGCCAACAGTGGGAGGGCTTCTAGTGCCCTGGCCCCACTGGTGGACCTCCTGATGGCACATGGTATTTCTGGCCACTGTGTGACAGAGTGTTTGGCCTGATCCAACATTGGCTTCTCTTATGTTCCTGTGTTCTCACTCTTCCATTAATTATTTCAGTTATTATACTTTTATCCACTACTGTTAACCGTACTCCCATCAGCACTGACTTAATGTTGTTAATTTTACATCCAGAAATTGCCCCAAATTGCATTATTGTTTGATTTAGACTCTGTACTGAGGTCTTAGGATCTTGTAATGTAAAAATGATATCGTCAGCATACAATAATAGTTTTGTAGCATTTTTCTGGAAATCGATGCCTTTGATTCCTTGATGCTGATGCACCACTATTGCCAAAATTTCAATGCTAATGATTTATTACGTATGTTTTTAATCCATTAGTCATCTTGTTGGTACCGATCAGGGCAGAATGACGAGGTATAAATTTTGTAAAGCAATAAATAAATAAATACATGAGGGTCTTAGCTTGCCGACAATTTGGGTTTAAGCCATGAGTTTGCAAACGGCTCTCAAAACATGCCACATATTTTTTTTCTTTATACACCTCTAGAAATCAGGATTCTGGGCAAAAGACCCAAAGCCAGGCTACCCTGCAGGACAGGTGGAGATCTCATTCTTGCTCAAGTAACTGTCTTGGCAAGACACCGATCTTGCAGGAGGATTAACTCAGATAGCTACGATTGCTCAGCACAATGTATTGGAACGTTCTCCTGGGAAAGCTTCGTTGAAATGAAAGGGAGTGGCATGAAGGCATGTCGGCACTCTTGCACAAAGACTTCTTCACATCACCGAAGCTTCTGCAAGAGAAATTCTGCACAGATTATGCCCATCACGTGCCAAGTTCACCAGGGTGATGTTTGGCGGGGGGGGGGGGGTTAGGGGGGGGGTGTTACAAAAAGGGATGGATCTTGGCAAGCTCAGCATTCTGAAATCCCTGAAATATCCAGAATCATTCAGGATAGCCAGAGCAGTATATTAGTCAAAGTATATCCCTCCTATGCGCCAGGAAGCTCAAAGCAATGTTTCAGTCTCACATCAAACCTACAAAACAAAGTTCGAGTCCGGCGGCACCATTAAGACCAACAAAGTTTAATTCTGGGTGTAAGCTTTCGTGTGCATGCACACTTCTTCAGATATTCGTGTGTATGCACACGGAAGCTTATACACTGAATAAAACTTTGTTCATTTTAAAGGTGCCACTGGACTCAAACTTGGTCTGAAGCGGCAGAACAGGCATAGCTACCAACCTGAATCTAGCAAGAAACCTACAAGGCAGGCTAGTTTCAGAAACAGTAACCAACCTCAAAGTCACCCACTGAGCTACATGGATGAATCTGGAGTTCGAACCCAGGTCCAAGCCGAACACTTTACCCATTATGCCACACCGCATAATTCAAATATCTGCTCAGCTATAAAACTCACTGTGTAACCTGGGCACTTACACTGTTTCCCTGGAGCATTTTTTTCACATACAAGGCATAAATCTCTTGGGAGTTTCTCACGGAAACAGAGTTTATCTATACATCACATTTAAATGCCAGTTGGCCGTTCACAAGGAGGCGCATGTATTACATGACTCAGTATTACAGATAGGGACACCTGCAGAATTCTGCCCGGTTGAATTTCTCCCCGGATGGCAGGATTCCAAACTAAAAGATCTTCTTAGTAGGGCGATTACTAGCCCCCTTCCCGTTGTTATGTTCTACTCTGTGTACAGGAAGAGAACCATGAGGATTCTGCCACGCATGTACTGAAGTTGAAAATACACGCGTTGCCCCTTTCACACAACACCGTAATTGTCCTTAGGAGGATCATGGGCAGAGGGCTCTCCCTGTACACACGGCTGCTAGGCTTTCAATGCACAAGACCATAACAACTAAAAAGGCCGGCTGATAATGCCATAATCTACAACGAGAGCCAGCGTAGTATAGCAGTTGAAGTGTTAGACTAGCCTCTGGGAGACCCAAGCTTGATTCTCCCACTCTGCCATGGAATCGCACTGGGTGACCTTGGGCCAGACACCCTCTATCAGCCTGACCAACTTCAGGGGGGGGGGGGTGAGGTCAAAATGGAGAAGGGGGAGAACAATGTCGCTGTGGGTTTCCTTTGGAGAGAAAACCAGGGATAGGATTAAATAAATACAATTCCATTCTTTTCTTTCCAGAATGTATAGGCTTCTGGAAAGACAAGACGACAGAGATGAATAACTCAAGGGACTAAGCAGTTTTTATTACACCTAAGCCAGTTTGGTGTATTGGTTAAGTGCACGGACTCTAATCTGGGAGAACCGGGCTTGATTCCCCACTCCTCCACTCGCACCTGGCTGGATGGCCTTGGGCAAACCTTAGTTCTGATAAGAGCTGTTCTTGAAAAAGAGCAGTTTCTGTCAGAGCTCTCTCAGTCCCACCTACCTCACAGGGTGTCTGTTGTGGGGAGGGGAAGGGCAAGGAGATTGTGAGCCGCTCTGAGACTCCCTCGGGTAGTGAAGGGTGGGGTATAAATCCAGTCTCTTCTCTTCTACGGTCCAGAGCCTATTATTCTCTCCCCAGAGAGACCTGCCTGTCCCCTTTTGTTGCCGTCTTCTGCCAGTGGGTGAAAGCTTTTTTTTGTTAAATGTGGCATTCCCTCAGCGATCTCTCCTTCCTGCCCTGTTCTTAATTGTTGTTGCTTTCCCTTGACGTTGTTGTGTACATGTATTCTATTGCATTTCATGTGTGACCTGGTTTTAATTGTTTGAATGATAAGTTTTTAATTGTTTGAATGATAAGTTTTTGTTTTAACGGATTTTAAAATGTGTTTTTACTATGTGTGTTCATAATCTGTTAGCCGCCTCGCTGACCCTAATGAGGGCGAAAGGTGGGGTATACAGTTTATAAATAAATAAAATAAAAGGCTCTAATCCCTGTAACCTGATGCTAGAATTAAAATTTTTCCAGCGTTAAAATGCCCAGTGTCTCCTATTCGTTTTTAATAGGACAGACTAAAACGGGTACCCCTTTGGAATTATCTCAACAGAAGAAGAAAAACGTTTGCTTCCAGGGAAATCGGATCTTTTAAAAATAAAAACAGCAATTTTTATTCCCCTGCTGAGGCACTCGTACAGAAAATACAACCTCAATAAAATATTTTTTGGTTCGCTGGGGGTGGGATTGCCCCTGCCCAAAATCTACTGTTGGCATTTTGAAATCTGCTCATCTCTAAGGGCATGGGCAAAACTGGGATTTTATTCATACTGAAAATCCATCTGAAGCCACTAAGGGCCAAACTAGACCACACAGCACCCTGGGGGACTAGGGCTGCCAGCTCTGGTTGAGAAATACCTGGAGATTTTGAGGGTGGAGCCTGATGAGGGTGGGGCTTGGGGGAGACTTCAGCAAGGTACGATGCCATAGAGTCCACCTTCCAAAGCAGCCATTTTCTCCAGAACCGATCTCTGTCACCTGGAGAGCAGCTGTAATAGCGGGAGATCTCCAGGCCCCACCTGGAGGTTGGAAACCTGACCAGGGATGCCCCACTGCCATTTTACCCCTCGAATTCTCTTCTGTCTCAGTCCCCCTTTGGGCTCTTGAAATGGCACAGGGGGAGGGAGGGAGGTGCCCTACTACCGTTTGCGCGCTGTCCCAAGCAGGATCAGGCCCCCTACGGCACATGCAAAGTGAGATACTTCTAGGGAATCCCTGGGGCTGCTGTATCAGCTAGTTTGGGCCTCAGTCTTCTCGTGTGGAAACACTCTCAGGTCTCTCAAACGACTTCACCGGGTTTTTGAGGACAGAAATACCACACTGAGAAACACCTCCAGCGGTCTCACTATCCTTTGACAAAATACGGCGATTTTATGTAACGGGGGAGGGGGGATTCTTATCACAACACCCACAATGACGATTTAGAACATAGTTCTTGTTTTTCTGCAATTTGGCTTCCATTGCTAGACTATAAGGTATCCATAGACAAGGTCCCGAAAAACGTTTCACATGGTGATGTATCTACTGGCGGCAGCAAGAATAGTGTTAGCTAGGTACTGGAAGAAAGAAAAGGTACCTGATAGATGGGATTTTATTAATAAAATGGTTGAAGTGATCGAAATGGATAATTTAACACAAAAACTCCATGGAAGTATGAATTCAGTTTTTCAAAAAAATTGGTCAAATGTATATAAGTGGATTGAAATGAATTTGTAAGTAAAGCATTTATTTAATAGAAATTTGTTAAATCAGGAGGGACAGAGGAAGGATCCGTTTTAATTTGATGGTTTGGTGTTTGCTTTTTGGTGGTGGGCTGTATTTATTGTCTCTATACATGTATAACAATAAAAAAATTATTGTAAAAAAAATTAATTATTCGGTTTAAGTTACCTTCTAGTAACCATCTACATCTTTTAGTAATATCAGGTACATGTTGTTGTATCAGTGTTTTACTGTTTATACCGATGTATGACTCTGAAAATTGTTAGCTGTATACTCTTGTAAATTTAATTAAAAATTCAAAAAAGAAAACAAAAGAAAGAAATCCCACACCAAGCTGCTTTGGGTAGGAGTGAAACAAAATTGGCAACATGTATTTGGTTTATAAATCTTCATGGGGAAAAGGAATCCCTAAAACAGCCTCAGGACTTCCCACACAATCAGCCTCCTCACAAGCACTGGAGGAATATATTATTAAGTAGTTCAAAGCACATACAAAGGCTGAAAGCAAAAACTTGAGTAAAATCCCAGCACATTTTCATCCCACCCTTTCCTGAAGGAGTAGCACACAGGTAGCTTCAATCGGTCCAAAACACTGTTGCCTATCTTTTGATGTGGGCAGCACATTTTACCGACTACACTGACTACCTTTTTTGTTTCTGGACACAATTCAAGGTGCTGGTTTCTAACCTTTAAAGCTCTAAACGGCCTGGGACCAGAACACCTTGAGGCAGTACCTGTTTCCATTCTTTGAGATCTGCTACTCAGGCCCATCAGAGATTGGTATCTAAAAGGAAAAGGGCACTCTCAGGAGTCCAGAGTCATGCAACTCCCCAAAAGTGGTGGCTTAGTTGGTTGCAACATTCATGTTTTTAAGGAGACGGTTAAATACGTTCTTCTAGAGAATATTTGAAGGGCTGTCATGTAGAAGATGGAGCAGATCTATTCTCTCTTGCTCCGGATTGCAAGACTAGATCTAATGGGTGGAAATTACAAGGGAGTCGTTACCGGCTAAATATCGGAAGAAACTTCCTAAGTGGTTGAGCAGTGGAACAGGCTGCCTCGGGAGGTGGTGGATGCTCCTTCGCTGGACGTTTTCAAGTGGAGGTTGGACGACCATCTTTCGGGCATGTTGTAGGGCTATGTTCATGCAGAGTGCAGGGGGTTGGACTAGATGACCTGCAAGGTCCCTTCCAACTCTAACATTCTATGATTCTATGAAGAGTTGTTTTTTATACCCAGCTTTTCTTTACCTTAGGGGCCATGGTGGCTTAGAGGTTAAGACGCTGAGCTGCAGACCAGAAGGTCTGTAGCTTGGCAGTTCGAGACCCTAGTACCGTGTGATGGAGTGGAGTGAGCTCCCATCTCTGGCCACAGCTCCTGCCAACGTAGCAGTTCGAAAGCAAGAAATTGCAAGTAGATAAATAGGTACCGCTTTGGCGGGAAGGTAACAGCGTTCCGTGCACCTCAGCATTTTGTCATGCCGGCAACATGACCACAGAAACGTCTTCAGATAGCACTGGCTCTTCGACTTGGAAACGGACATGAACACTGCCCCCTAGAGTCGGATTCAACTAGCTTTCAAGCAAGGGAAACCTTTACTTTCTTTACCTTAAGGAGTCTCAGAGAGGCTTACAATCTCCCTCCCTTCCTCTCCCCCCATCAGGCACCTCCATGAGGCTGGTGGGGCTGTGAGACTTCTGAGAGAACCGTGACTGGCCCAAGGTAACCCAGCAGGCTTCATGTGGAGGAGGAGTGGGGAATCAAACCCAGTTCTCCAGATTAGAATCCGCCGCTCTTAACCACTACACCATACTGGCTCATGATGTAGTTGTCAGAGTTCGGGATTGGGAGCTGGATTCAAATCCTCACTCAGTCTCAAAACTACCTGTGTGACCTTAGTCCAGTCACTTTCTCTCTCAGCCAAACTTACCTCACAGCACTCTTATGAGCATAAAAACAGAGGAAGGGAAAACCATGCACGCCACTCAGAGCTCCTTGAAAGGAGGGTGAAATTAAAAATGGCATAGACAGAGATGGGCTTTTAGGAGCTTTTTATAGTCTCTGATGGTTTAAAAGGTTTTTGGATTTGCTTGGTTGTAGTAATTGGTTTTAATAAGGGTTATTATGCTGATCTGAAGGTTTGATTGGTTTTCCTCTGACGCGTTTGTGCTCTGATGGTTTTATGGAGGCGATTTTCATTTTTTGCCGACGCTGTTGGTATTTATGATCTCCTATAGCTGTTTTTAGACGTGTAAATTGCTCTATTTTGTGATAGTTAAGCAACCTGGGAACTTGCCAAAGACCAAGATTAAAAAATCACAGCATGGCCAGTACCAACTACTAATAAAAGAGTGTTTATAATAGCAAACTTGTTTTGGGCATAGGTAACTTCCAGGACACCAAATATGCATATAAAGGATGAAGGGGGGGCCTAAGAGACATAAGGGTCCCAAGAGACCCAAATATTATCAGGAGTCCAAGAAAAACTGAATTTCAGAATTCTGTCCTACAAATACAAAGAATATTTGGGGTTTTAAAAATCGCTTAATTTGTCAAGCCCAGTTATCAATTAAGCCAAGCGATGTAGTAATTTCCTCTCTCTTTTCTTGCATGTGTCTGTTTGAGGGTATGTTTTTAACAAAAGAAACAAAAAGGAAAACTGTTTTTGAGGCCACTGGGGTGAGTCACCTACGGTTAAGGCCAAAATAAACAGACGTCCAGCAGCATCTTCAAGACTAACAAACTTCTGTTCATTTTGGCTGAAGCCAACTAGCGCAGCTACCACTCTGGAACTAAGGTTAAGGTCGGACTGACCAGCTGAAGACGGTTGTACCTGCCCTCCGTTATTCCCCCCGCCAGAACAAAGATTGGTGCTCACCTTTAACGCTTCTTCTGGGACCTTGTGTTGGATCTGTTCCAACACATACATGTTAGCATGTGAGAGAGAAAAAAGTCAAGGAAAACCTACTGTTACAGTAATAGAAACAACTGGGAAATCACCGCCACCCTCCCAAAAGACACTGCACGGGGGGAGGGGAAGGAACATGTCACCAAACAGCACCCGGGACCAGTTTGCAGCTCAAAGGGTAGCCATTCCTATAGGGCAGTCAATCCTTCAAGGCTCCACTGGGAATGAATGGGTGACTCTGTCATGAGAAAGGAAGTTAAAGCTACTACCATCCGTCCATCATCCCCACCTCCTGCCTCCCCCCACCCCCATCTAGCCATCCACTTATGAGCAGGGGTCATTTCCTGCAGGAGCGCACAGGAGTGGAGCTCCGGAAGTAAAGAGCCCAGGGGGCGGGCGCATGCAACAAGCCCCACCCCCTGCTCCCAGCAGCCCTCAGTCAGAGCAAGAAGCAGCCAGGTAACTTGCAGAATTCCCCCTACCCCTCGGGCCAAAACAGTCCAGTGGCACTTTTAAGACCAAGTTTTATTCAGGTACAAGCTCTCCCTCCTCTGTGAGGACAGATCTGCACGTCCCGTTCCCACCCCCCCACCCCCCCAGAATTAGCAATCCAAAACAGTCCAGTGGAGCCTGAGCCGTGGGTGTTGCCTTCTGACACACTTCCAGTGATGGCAGGGGGTGTGGCATATGCAAATAAGTTATGCTAATGAGTTATGCTAATGAGCTCCTGCACCTCTTTTTCTACAAAATGACCCCCGCTTATGAGACTAAGCTCGATTCCAAATAGGTAGAAAAGGAAGCTTTGCTTCATGAACGGCTGCTGTGATCCACGATATGGCTTTGCCAAATATGCAGCGATTTCACACTAATACCAAATACGCTTTGTTACAAAGAACTGCTAGAGCTGGATTTAAAAATAAAGCTGTAACTAAGATTGCCAACTCCAGCTTTGGAAATTCTTGGGAGACTTGGGGATGGTGCCTGGGGAGGGAGGGAAGTTCAGCAGAGACGTGATGTCACCCTAGGACTTCTCCTTCTTCTAGACTCAATGGTATACCATCGAGTTTGCCCACCAAAGCTGCCATTTTCTCCAGGGGAATGGATCTCTGTTGTCTTAGAGGTCCGTTGGAATTCTGGGCTGGAAAATACCTGGAGACTTTGGGGGTGGATCTAAGAGTGGGTGTGGTTTGGGGAGGGGAGGGGAGGGGCCTCAGCATGGTACAATGCCACAGAGTCCACCCATCAAAGCAGCCATTTTCTCCAGGGGAGCTGATCTCTGCCAGCTGTAGATCAGTTGCAAAAGTGGGAGATCCCCAGGCCACACCTTGGGAGTGGATAACCTTACAGATTGCAGCAAGCATGGCTATATGTTATACTCTCCATCCCACCAGTGCTCACGGAGACAGGCAGCACTTTGATGCAGGGTGGATTTGATTTAAATCACTACTCAGTAAGACTCACATTAAATCATGGTTTTCTAGATAAAGGCTCATTTTTGCTGGCCTTAATATTTGCAACCCCAGATGAAGGTTTCATTTTAGTACAGTAACTTTTCAGGTTAGTTTTAGTGATATCAGAAAATCAATGATTGGTCATTTACCACTTGAAATAGGTAATTATGAAATCATTGCAAGGTGAACTATCTCCAGTTTAATAGGTTGTTAATCATTCACATTTGGACAACTTTTCTGCTGTACTTTACTGGAAGGAGAAAAATAATTATTAACAATAGCCATTTAAATTGTTTTATTTAACTAAAACAGTAGCATTATATAGCATATGTATTCTTGCATTTGCTTAAACATCCATGAGGATACACTCACAAAGATCTCAAGATTTCTGGAGTATTCTGCTCAAATAAGTTTCACTTCCATTTATACTGCCTGCTCCTTCCTCCTCACACTTAGCTCTTAACAGCCCCTCCTTATCCAAACCTATTCCACCCCAAACAATCTCATATTCATTGAAATTCTTGAAACTTAGCACTTAAGAGATAAGGGGTTGATTCTGTGCGCATAGGTTTGCAGAGGACCAATAGGACTGAGGCCTCTTAACTCCATATGTTTATTTTATCACATTTTTGCTATGAAGAGGCATGTGACCGCTGTAGACACAAATTCACAGTTTTGAGAACTGTGAAGCCAAGCATCTGTGATAATATCTTCTAGATAGAAAAACTGCCCAGTAAAGTTACAGACACCTCTGGGAGAGCATGACATTGTGAATGGATTAATACAGGGGTCATTTCCTGCAGGAGTGCACAGGAGCGGAACTCCGGCAGTAAAGAGCCAAGGCGGCGGGCACATGCAACAGCTAGCAATCCAAAACAGACCAGTGGAGCCTGAGCGGTGGGTGTTGCCTTCTGACACACTTCCGGTGATGTCAGGGTGTGTGGCATACGTAAATAAGTTATGCTAATGAGTTATGCTAATGAGCTCCTGCACCTCTTTTTCTACGAAATGACCCGATTTACCAAAAAATTTGAACACTGCATGAATATACAGCCTCATGCAATGTAATTAAAAACTAATCCTTATTTCATGATGAATAATCTTTGGGCTAGTCTATAATGTATCTTTAAAGGGGCTGCGGTGGCTCAAGTGGTTAAGATGCTGAACTGCCGACCGGAAGGTCGGTAGTTCAGCAGTTCGGAGACCCGAGTGCCACATGACGGAGTGAGCTCCCATCTCTGCTCCCAACTCCTGCCAACTTAGCAGTTCAAAAGCAAGAAATTACAAGTAGATAAATAAGTACCACTTTGGTGGGAAGGTAACAGCGTTATGCGCCTTGGTGTTTAGTCATGCCGCCCACATGGCCACGGAAATGTCTTTGGACAGCGCTGGCTCTTCGGCTTTGAAAAAGAGATGAGCACTGCAACCCTAGAGTCGGACTCGACTGGCTTTCGAGCAAGGGAAACCTTTACCGTTACCTATAATGTATCTTAAATAGAAATAGACAGATTTTTCCTCAGAAAGCATCTTATTTTTAAAAATCCAATTTAAAAAAATCGATTTAAATTTTTTTAATCTGATTTTTTAATTTAAAAAAATGATTTTTATCCACCCTGCTTTGATGCCACACACAGGAACTGCCCAGGGGAACACAGAGCCAATGCTCTTGCCAGCTACCACCAATGATGAGCAATAGGACACCAGGATCCCATGTGGGATTCCGCCTGCTTTTGGTGGGCCCCAAATTGATTTTCCTGTCTGCACCTGGAACTTCCAACTTCCAGGTGTGACTCTCAGGGCCAAAAACATGCACTTCCCTCCCCCAGCTTAGACGAATGGAAATACGAGGTTAACAGGCAGTGCTGTCCATAAAGAGAATGTGATGTTCTACCAGTGTTCTCTCTAAGCTGAGTTATTTTATTTTATTAGATTTATACCCTGCCCTCCCCACCGAGGCGGGCTCAGGGTGGCTTACATATATGCAATAGCTAAAAACAACAATATACTAAAAGCATTAAATCTTAAAACAATATAAGGTGCTAGTAACAATATAAGTGACCATAAATAGAAATCTATCAGACTTTTTCCTCAGAAAGCATTTTATTTTTAAAAATTCAATTTTAAAAAATCAATTTAAATTTTAAATCCAATTTTTTTAATTTAAAAAAATGATTTTTATCCACCCTGCTTTGATGCCACACACAGGAACTAAGACAGGAGGGCCTGGCGGGAGATGGTCCATGGGGTCGCGAAGAATCGGACTCGACTGTGCGACTGAACAACAACAACAACAATCCCATGTGGGATTCCGCCTGCTTTTGGTGGGCCCCAAATTGATTTTCCTGTCTGCACCTGGAACTTCCAACTTCCAGGTGTGACTCTCAGGGCCAAAAACATGCACTTCCCTCCCCCAGCTTAGACGAATGGAAATACGAGGTTAACAGGCAGTGCTGTCCATAAAGAGAATGTGATGTTCTACCAGTGTTCTCTCTAAGCTGAGTTATTTTATTTTATTAGATTTATACCCTGCCCTCCCCACCGAGGCGGGCTCAGGGTGGCTTACATATATGCAATAGCTAAAAACAACAATATACTAAAAGCATTAAATCTTAAAACAATATAAGGTGCTAGTAACAATATAAGTGACGATGGCGAAGGCAGAGTAGCATCAGCACACTGGTAAATGCCGTCGGTATTAGATTTTAGTGTCAGCGGAACTCAGGTGGATGGTATTAGGCCCAGAGCCTTGGTGTATTGCATGAGGCTCCTTGGTGTATTGGGTGTGCCTGGAGGAAGAGCTCTGTCTTGCAGGCCCTGTGCAACTGTAAAAGGTCCCACAGGGCCCTAAGGTCTTCCAGGAGCTCATTCCACCAGCACGGAGCCGCTACTGAAAAGGCCCTGGCCCTAGTTGATGCCAGCCTGATGTGTTTAGGGCCCGGAAGGGCCAGACGGTTTTGGGATCCTGACCGCAGTGCTCTCTGGGGAACATGTGGGGAAAGGCAGTCCCTCAGGTAGGTAAACCTCTGACCGTAAAACATTTTAGCCTCCAGCTCACACATTTTTTGTCTTCGCTCAGGAAGGACAGCTCCAGAGCAAACTAATTCATGCAGTAGCCAAATCGCTCACTCACAACTTTAAAGCCAGTCGCTCACAAAGTAGAATTTTCGCTCACCAGACTTCACAGCTTAAGAGGGAGCATTGGTTCTAACCAAAGCAAACCACTCTAAATCGGCAAGATTTACACAGGTCCCCTTTATGGCTGCACAAACCAGATGGGTGGAACTTTGCCACCAGAGTGAAAGTGGGGGGTTGGGGGGACCAGGAGGGGACGATTTGGCAGAACACAAAAAACAAGACAGGATGGGAAAGGTTCCCATTAAAAATAGACCAAGTACAGGCTACGTTTTGGCATGGCTGGGAAAATTCCCCGCAAGAGAACACTGCTGACTCAGGGGATGCGAAAGATGATGGGATCCGGAAAGCCGTGAATGAGGGGAAGGGGCAGAGGGGTGAAAAGAACCATCAGCGGGAGAGCGGAGAGGGGTGAGGCGAACTGCCCTGGGATGCAAAACTGGATC